CCCCAAAACCCCAAAACCCCAAAACCCCAAAACCCCAAAACCCCAATAGCGATGAAAAATATTGAATCGAGAAAACATTGATAATGTCTGATGCACTATAAATATGGAAACTATAGTTATGATAAAATATTAGTATCTTCATAAAGCAAGGCTCTTCTTTGGAGGAGAGGCTCTGTTGAATGTTTTAGAAAGTTTGTAGTCTCAACCTATGAAATCCATGATTGTTTGAGTTCAGATCCTTGTTCATTTTTATCAGTTTCACTTGTGCTTTCTTCCCACTGGCTGAGATAACGGAACCACTCTCATCAATACTGTATTTCTGAAGAGACATCACGCTACCAATCTGTGGCTTTGGAATGTTTTTATTTCTAAGAACCTCAATACTAGATAAGGTCTGTTCAGATTTCTTGGTTGGGCAAAATCCTACTCTTCCCTGAAAATCTTGTACAGTCTCTGTCATTATTCTTTGTCTTCTGAGTAATTTTGCCTCTCTCTTGTTAATCTTAGTCTTTTTATTGATGTCTTCTTGACCAACAGGTGTTGGCATATGAAAGTCTGGAACATCTACTCTTTCTAATTTGTCAAGACGGACGATCTCCGAATGTTTTCTTTTGAGAGAGTTCCTTTTCGGATTTTCAGAAGAAAGCTGAATTCATGGAGATGATGAGTCTTTCTTATAAGAGTCAAAGGATTTCTCAAATTTAAACGAATCCTGGTTAGGCTGACTCTGAGGAGTAGTCATCCCCATCGTTGCCATCTTATATGTTGCTGGGAAGTAAGTAAAGCTTTGTTCATTTGAATTAGTGTCCCGTACTTCATTCTGTTGTTCGCAATTTTCAAATTCTACAGTGGGCTTTCTCTCAAATGATTTTGAAGATTTACAATCTGAGTTATCACTCTTGATGACACTTGAAGTTTTTGTCTTCTTTGAAATGAACTGGTCACAGTCTCAATCAGGGAAATCTTGAAGCTTCACTTCTAATTCTTCTTTCAAAGCTAGTTTTTCTTGAGTGTCCTCGATTCCTGAGATGATGAGATCAATTGAAAACTTTTCCCGCTTAAGACACTGGATTGGATTTTCTCCAGGTTGGCAGTTTGGAAAAATTCTTTTAAAGAATTTTTGTGCATGACTTCTGATTTGAGGTCCTGTTCTTTGTAAACTTTGAGCCTTATTTGTAGGTTCATAAGATAGATTAACGTGTCTTTGGACTAACTTCCATACTTTCCCATGCTGAATGAGGCCTTGAAGGAAGCGGATGTGCTCTTGAGTTGACCATCTTCCTGTTTTACCATCATTATTGGAATGCTTTTTACCCAATATTTTGAACTCGGCTATAAAACGTGAGTATTATGAAATGTCCAATTGAAAATCTAGTAAAGGATCTGAAAATTAAAAATTATCAAGCGAGATGAAATAAAATAAAGTTTTAGTAGCCAAACTCTCGGATTTCAGCTCTTGGGCAACTCAACTATCCAAAGTAAAAAATGTTGTCTTGCCTCCTTCTGCTCAGAATTAGTATCAGAAATGATGAAGAATGAGTTAAAAATATCTTATTAGCTCTTACCTGTTGTCTTTGCTTTCCTTGATCTTCTCCCTATCCCAGATTGAGGGCTATTACTTGTGAGTCCTATCTCACCTATTTTCGTTTTTATTTACATTGGAAAAGCTAAGATAGGATTAATGGCTCCTAAAATGTCTGCTTCAAGAAGATATTCAGACTAGGTTAAGGTCAATTAAAAGCGACGCTAAATTTATATATCTCGAGTAAATTTCTGATTAAGTGGGAGAGACAAAATATGTAGAGATGTCATGAGCTATCACTGACAAATATTTAAACTCGACTTAGACGAAGCTTGTTCAAGCTGGTTGGATATTGATATTTCAATAAATAGGAGCTTCATGAAAGGACATTCAGAATAATCCATGAGTGGGATCTTTTCTCTTATATAAAATATTGGAAGGCCATGACAGAACTTGAAACCATAGCACAGCGCCTACAAACCAGAGTGCCCTTAGGTATGGGTAGCATCCATCGAAATCCAATAGCATATCCAAGATTAAAAAAACTTGTGGAAATACTATGTTTTTAGAACCCTTCAGAAAATATTTGGTTAAGCCTGAATTTATTTGAAATTTTTGGATAGATTAATACTATGCTGAATAATATTTTCTCCAAGAGGGACTCATAAATTTTGTGTGTTAGTAGTTCCTCTAGAAATTAGAAAATACCTAATTATTTTTACATGCCGCCCCTTAAGAAGTTTTTAGAAGGTTAGAAAATAATTGTCAGCGATTGATGAAATAGAATCATTGGAGTTAAAATCTTTATATTAATACTGCCAAAGCCAAAATGGGCTTTGTTTTGGTCCATATGATGAAAAGTAGCTTACTGTTGCACTTATCGTCCTTGGAACGCTCTTTGTCTCCTTTGTTGGTAGGACTATCACTCATCTGTTGCTTATCTAAAATATTTATATAATAGATTCTCAACTGGGTGCTCTAAAGTTGGGGTTTTGGGGTTTTGGGGTTTTGGGGTTTTGGGG